GTGGGAGGATCGCTTGAGCCCAGCAGTTCTGGGCTGTAGTGCACTATGCCAATTGGGTGTCCGCACTAAGTTCCTCATCAATATGGTGGCCTCCCGGGAAGGGGGGACCACCAGGTTGCCTAAGGAGGGGTGAACCGGCCCAGGTCAGAAACAGAGCAGGTCAAAACTCCTGTGCTGATCAGTAGTGGGATCGCTCCTGTGAATAGCCACTGTACTCCAGCCTGGGCAACATAACGAGACCCCCATCTCTAAAAAAAGAGAATATTCTATTTTGGCCAGGTATGCTGACTCACGCCTGTAATCCCAGCACTTTAGAGTTTGAGCTAGCAATGTCCTCCGTGCACATGTACCTTAACAGATGTGTCTATATCTTCACTAAAAGACAACTATAACAATCCTTATAGCAGCATAATTTGCAACAGCCTCGAACTAGAAACTTCCCAAATATCTATCACAGAAGGATGGTTAAAAAACCATGGTACATTCAAGACTAGACTACAATACAGCAAAGAAAATGAGTACAATCATACACCTACACACGCGAATGAATCTCACACAGCTCATGTGTGAGCGAAGAAGTTAGACCTATAAGGATAGATAATGTGTGATTCCATTTATATGAAGTTATCATCAGGCAAACTAATCTCAGTAATAGAGTTTACCTGGGGCTGAGGGTGCAGGGATTGGAGCCTTCTGTAGGGCCTGAAATGTATACAGTTGTCAATCAACGTATATGGGGAATCAATTTCACCATCTCCCACAGATACCAAAATCCACAGATGCTCAAGTCCTGATATAAAATGGTGCAGTATCTGCATATAACCCTAGTACATCTTCTCGTATACTTTAAATCATCTCTAGATTACTTATGCAATCACCTGTCAGATAACGACATTTCAGTCCATACCAGAATACATATAGGATGGTGATCCCATAAGGTTATAGTGGATCTGTGCTATACAGCTGTACAATCTCTAAAAACTGATATTTAAGAAGAGATGGGATTGCAGAGTGTAGTGGCTCACGCCTGTAATCTCAGCACTTTGGGAGGCTGAGGAGCTCAGATTATGAGGCAGGAAATCGAGACCATCCTGGCTAACACGGTAAAATCCGTCTCTACCAAAAATACAAAAAATTAGCCTGGCATGGTGACATGCATCTATAGTCCTAGCTACTTGGGAGGCTGAGGCAGAAGAATCGCTTGAATCTGGGAGGCAGAGGTTGCAGTGAGCCGAGATCCCACCACTGCACTTCAGCCTGGGCGACAGAGCAGGACCGTCTCAGAAAAAAAAAAAAAAAAAGGAGAGATGGGGTCATGTTGATCAGACTATTCTAGAACTCCTGGACCCAAGTGATCCTCCCAACTTGGCTTCCCAGAGTGCTGGGATTTATAGGCACGAACCACCACACCTGGCCAGGTGTACCATTTTTATTGTTTATACTGTAGTTTTAGGATCCTTTTCTGTGTTTACACAGGTAGCTACCATTATGTTCCCATTGTCCGCAGTACTCAGTACGCTAACATGCTGCAGAGGTGTGGGGCCCAGGAGCGCTCAGCTCTACCCTTCAGCCCAGGTGCGTGTTTGGCGGGACCATCTCGAGGAAGCCGAGGAGACATGAGCTGAAGGCAGAGGTGAGTCGGAGGTGGGATCTTGGGACGAGTGTGAGAAGTTAGACAAAAACGGGTGAAATCTGAATAAATGTCACCATATTCATAAAACTACTGCATGAATAACCTTAGATAATGGTTCATGTTATCATTTAGTTAATAGGATCGCACCTATGTTAATTTTTTTTTTTTTTTAAGAGATAAAGTCTCACTCTGTGACTCAGTCTGGAGTGCAGTCTGTGATTGATCATAGCTCACTGCTTCCTGGAAGTCGGGCTCAGGTAATCTTCCCACCTCAGCCGCCTGACTAAGCGGGACTATAGGCAGACGCCAATATACCTGGCTAATTTCTTTTACTTTTCTCTAGAGACAGGGTCTGCCTAGGCTGGTCTCAAACTCCTGGGCTCAAGTGACCCTGAACCTCCCGCCTCCACCTCTCAAATTGCTGGGATTACAGGTGTGAGCCGCCACACCCGGCCTAAATTTCTTACTTTTGACAAATGTGCCATCGTAATGCAAAATGTCATTGTTAGGGGAAGCTGGATGGAAGGTATATATGTAAAGTCATTTCAACAGCATGTGTTTATTTTACAACATGGAGGTGGTTATCTTTCCATGAGTGTAAAGTACAAAAGGCAGGCTCATGGTGTTGTCAGAAGTCAGAACACTGGTTTCAGGGCTGGGGGCCCGAGGAGGGGCTGGGCATGGTTGGTTTTCTGATCTGGGGGCTGGTGTGCTCCATCACTGAATGTCTTTTTTTTTTTTTTTTGCACCAAGAAAATGTTTTAATTAAACTACAGAAACAATGGTTATAGTACAGAATATTTATAAGCAAAAAGATACACCATGTTGTAAGTACTTACAAAGTTACATCCATTTTCTTAACATTTTCCATGTTAAGTTCATACATATAGATATGATCAGATTTACCATTTTTGGGGGGAGGAGGAAACAATAGCTGTATTTATCATCAGCTAGATGTGCTCACTGTATGCTCCGTTATTTACATGTAAGGCCCGGGTGACTGGAAGTGCAGTCATCAGGCATTTTAATAAACTGGACAGCCATTTGTTTCCGCACGACAAGGCATCTTTACACAGGAGCAATCAGGAGAAAACAGGAAACAGCCAAGCACTCTGCACTGCAGCACGCCACCGTAACAGCTAACCAGCACTACTCAACTGCTACACAACTGCGCCTAGTGCACAAAAATACGTAAGAGATTAGAATTGTGTTTGAGAAACAACTGTTTCAAAAAATCAAGTCTTTTCACCTGAAAAGTCTTTATAATTTGGGTTCGGATGACCATTTAGATCTGAAAGTAAATAACATATACAAATGTACACCAACTTTTGTAGGTTTTTAAGGAATGAAGGCAATGCTCAGTCAGTCTCTTGACAGCTTTAGGCCGTGTGTAATGGCTGCACGCGTGTCCTTAAAAGTCAGGAGGCCACAAATTAGGTTACTCATCTGTTCAATTTCAAACAAAAAGTCAGCACTATATAACAAAATGAAATTTTACCTCAAATATCCAAATCTAATAATGAAATCTGAAGTCGTTCACCTCACTAAATTACAAGAAATTTGAATAACAGCAACAAAATGGCACATAAAATGAAGTTTGCCAACGGAGGCAACGCTTAAACAAGGAAAAAGTTAGAGAAATGTCACAAAATAACCTTCTCAATAGCCAGTTGCTTGTTCCAAGGACTCTTCTTAGATGGACTGAGTCTGTGGTCCTCTTCCCCCAAGTACTCCATGTCTACTGCTCGCGGATGCGTCTTTTTCTTACGAGGACAGCGCTCCTTCCTCTTCGGGAGACTTAGGGGGACTCTCCGATCGCGACCTGGGTTTGGATTCCCTCTTGGACGCGGGGCGAGGAGTCCTGGACCCAGATCGGGACCGGGACCGCGCGCGAGATCTGGGGACCGACGAGGACTTGGACTCGGACCTTCGCGCGGATCTGGACTTGGAGGTCGACCGGGAGCGAGAGCGGGACCCAGACTTCGAGCGGCTGCGGCGCGATCGGCTGCGGGACCGGCTCCGACCCCGGGACCGGCTGCGGCTCCGGCGTCACCGCCTCCGTCTCTGCGGGGTGGCGGTCCCCGGCGGCCGTGGTGCGAGTCCGGGGGCGGCCGTAGCTCGCGGCTCTGAGAGGCGGCCCGGAGCCCCGCGAACCGGCGCCGGCTTCCGCAGCCCCGGGCGGTGCGAGGCCCGTCTCTCGTCCGCAGCTGCCTTCCGCGTGGGGGCGCCGGGGAAGGCCTTGAGGGCGAACAGCACAGACGGCCTTGCTGGGCGAGCGCACCTCAGCTACAGCTCGCGGAATGTCTTTTGCGCTGTGCACTTACCAGGGCGGTAAGTCACATCTCAGGAAATGTTGATAAGTTTCCCAAAAAGTAAAACGAGGATGGGAGGCTTGTTTGGGACCTCGGGTGCTTATCCAGCCGTGAGCCCTGGCCCAGATGCTTCTAGAACTGAGAACATTCCAAGCAGAGGTGGCAGAGCCAAGGCCCTGAGGTGGGAGCGCACCGCTGCTCGTCCCCGGCTGTGAATGGGGTGTCCTGGTGGGAATCAGTGCCGCGTGCACTGCAGGGCCGGCAGGTCCATGCCCACATTGTGGCTCAGTGCAGAGAAAGCCAATCTCCGACCCCTCCGCAGGGTGGTCAGCCTGTCAGCAGGTGGCCAGCTGGTCCTCCTGGGAAATGGTGCCATCCCAGATACTGGGTGTATCTCATCCACAAATAGGGTGCTCAGCAGTGGTGTCAGCCTGGTGAGCCTTGGTAACGGCAGATGCATGGTGCTGAGCCTCTTTAGTCCCCATGCCCGTCTCAAGGCCACTTCTTCCATGGGCCCATGCAGCAAACGAGGTGGCCGGGAAAGAAGCCGGCTCCATCCACAGGGTGTGCTGTTCTGCTCAGCTCAGGACCAACATCATCCTCTGTCGTAATTCTCTTTGGTGGGAGTACTGGGAAAGCCTGCACTGGCAGCTGAAAGGCAACTGGTGGTGGCCAGGCTGCAGCAGTGGCTGCGAGGCTTTTAGCCTCGCCCAGCTTCTGGGACAGTGGCAGAGCTCCCCAGTGCCAGGGTCCCTGGCATAGGTCACGCTGACTACAGCTGGGAGCCCAACATACCCCTAGTGCCCCTCTCATCCCAGGGCTGGGGGTGTAGGCCAGGCCCCTCTTGGCCTGGAAATTATGCCCTAGGAGGGGAACACTCCCACAGGTTGGTACAGAGGCCCTGGGGCATGCTGCTGGCTGGCCAGGGCTGTGGGGATGCCATGCTCCTCTCTCTCTCTCGTGGCCTTGATGGGACAAGCCTCCCCATTGAACGGGATTTTCCAAGGTGTCTGGGGCTGCGGGGTTAAGGTTAGGGTTAGGGTCAGGGGTTAGGGTTAGGGTTAGGGTTAGGGTTAGGGTTAGGGTCAGGGGTTAGGGTTAGGGTTAGGGTTGGGAGCTGGTGGGCTGCCCCCTGGCTCCTTCCAGTCACAGTCATTTGGCGAAGGGGCCAAATATAGGTGCCCATGTTGCAGTGGGGATATCTCCCAACCTTCCTCTTAGTCCTGATGGACCTTGGGCAGGGCCCGGTGTCGGGGTCCCCATGGGCTTCCTGGGCTAGGCCTGTCCCATGGTCCCGGGGATGTCCAGGACACAGTTGGAATGGACACGGACCCAGCATGATTGCTCGAAGTGATAATGGGGGAACCAAGGGCCGCCCACATCCAGGTCCGTCGGGAGCTGGGGCATGGAACTCCATTCTAAATATCGCCAGGAATGGCGAGATCCTCCCTGAGCCAGGGCCGGGCTGGACACAGGGTGCTGCTGGAACCGGGTTGCTGGGCTGGGAGGGGGCTGACTGTCCCCCTTGCAGAGGGTGTTCCTGCCAGGTGAAGCCAGCACGGGCCTGGGTGCCGAGGACCCTTCCTCGGGTTTGGCTGAAAGGAAAACAGAGATGGTCGGCGTCTCCAGCGAGCCCATGCAGGCCTTTCTGGGCCGGGCCCCACGTGCCTGGGGTCTCACACTGAGGACACGCCTGTAGTCTGCTGATTCCAGAGGGAAGACAGTGTGCCACTTGGGGTGAGGAGGCCATTGGGGCATGGCAGGTGGCTCCTGGGACTGCCCCCCAGGGTTCAGGCTAGCTGGGGGTTTCCTGTCACACACCCTCCTCCCAGGGCTACAGCCCCCAGGTAGAACTCAGGTGGGAGGGGCCTTGGGTGTCACCCAGCGCCCTTGCCACCTCCCATGGGGACCTATCTCCAAAGTGGGTGATTGGGCCTGGACGTGGGTCACCTTCTGCTCTCCTGAATTGCCCAGTCCATGCCAGCACTGACCGTTCCCACATCTGGCTGAACTCTGAGCTCTGGCTCTGGGCCCAGGGTCCCACCTGTGTCCTGTCCCTAAATGCTCTGGGGGTCAGGGACACCGATTCCCTCGTCTCCCTGGCTCAAGGCTTGTGGTCACGGCACCCCTGAAGGAGTGTGCAGGAGTGAGGGGCCTCTGCTGCTCTCTGAGGCTGTCAGTGTTCACAGGGAGGGACGGGGGCTCCCACAAATGGGTCTGGCTCCTCCGGTGCCCTTGAGGGCCCCATGATGGTGACCACGGGCCACCATGGAAAGTGGGAGGGGGCTTGTGGGAGGGTCTTGCCCACATCCCCCTCCTGTGTGCACAGCACGTCCAGTCCACACGCACTGAGCGCCTGCCCTGAGGACCGGTGGGCCTACTGTACTTTCTTACAGTCTAGAAGGAAGAGGAGGAAGAAAGGCTGAAGAGGTTGGGGGTCCCAGGCATTCCCCCACCATTGACTTCCCCAGAGGGGAACTCGGGAGGGGACCTGGCACTGGAGCCCACCTGGGGATGGCAGGTCCTCGTGCTTCTTGGTGAGTTTTTGCCTTCGAGGCCCAAAGATCTTTCAAGACCTTTTCGTCCTTCCACACTGAGGTCCAGGAAAACAGGTGCCGAAAACGTGCCCACAGGCCAGACCTTGATGTTCTCAGGAGGCGCTCTAGGGACAGGGTGGGCATCAGGCCAGGAGAGTTCCCTGAGAGGGGTCAGAGCCCATACCCCATGGCCACTTCAATCTCCCACTGTGCAGTGCCGGATCCTTTTGTGGCCACCCCAGGGGTCCAGATGTGCACAGGAGGCTGTGGCTGGGGGGCGGCCTGGGCAGGGCAGTGCTCACCACACTCCCGACTTTCATCTGGGTCATGTGGGGGATGGGCTCGGTGTCACTGTGCCCTCCCAGCCCACCTGGCCAGACCTCCCTCGGGGCCAGAACAGAGGATCATGAGGACAGTGTGAGGAAGCTCCCTCGGGTCAGTTGGGGTCTGACCCCAGTGCTCCCCAGGTGGACTTACTCCTCTGAACCTTGTGGATGCATCTCATCATGGGCATCAGCACCTGCTCCCCCTCCATGAGATAGACATCCCACAGGCGCAGGGTGAGGCCGAGAGAGATCTGTGGGGACAGCAGGGGTGGGAGCACCTGGCCCTTCCAGGCTGAGGCTGGGGCTCAAGCTGGAAACAGTGGGGCTTCAGTCCCCAGAGTCAGTGACCCTCCCCATGAGGGTGGCCTGACCCCTCCGGGAGGCTGGGTCAGACAAGGTCTTGCAGCTCCTCATGGAAGGCACTGATTTCGGTGGGGAGGTGGCTTCTGGAGAGAGAGGCTTGAGGCCTTCCCTGAGCCCTCCCGAGTCAGATCCTGGCCCAGTCTGCCCATGATGCAGGTCCTCAGCCCCGGCCTCTGCCTTGGGATGATCCCTCTGGGGCAGAGGGTCTCACTGTGTGTCCTGTGGGGACCCGCATGTGCCTTCTGTGGGCTGGGGGTGAGCCAGACCGCCCAGCTGGGGAGGCAGGGCACTGCACGGCAAGGAGGGTCCCTGAGACTCCCTGTGCCTCCTTACCTCATCACTGAGCATCTGGAGAAGCACACCTAAGGCTGGTACCTTGTGCGCCTAGTCCTTCCTTGTCCTGATGGGAGGAACAAGGTGCTCAGGGCCCCCTGGGCTGCTCTAGAAACCTCCCTCTTCCAGGGCCCACTGAAGACCCCTCCCTAAGTGCAGAACACTGGGCGGTGTCCGGGGCTCCCCACAACACCTTCCCCTTCCCGCACTCCTGGGGGACACACTGCCCTTGGCCCTGCTCTGCAGGAGCTGGGCCCCAGTCCCTGTGCCTCTGTCTCCTCCAGGGCTGGGAAAAAACCCCAAATCCCAGCCCACAGAGAACCCTACGTACCTAGGTCAGGCCCTGGCTGCCACTCAGCCTGTCACCAGCCCCAGGAGGGGCTCCAGCTCCTCTGCTCCTCCAGCCCCACGTGATGCAGGGCCTCTGGAGAAGAGTCCAGAGGACCATAAACTCACCAGATGCCACATGGTCTTGGGTTGTGACGAGGGCGCCACATGCTCCTGATGGTCTTGGAGCCCCTGGACTGTCCCACCATTTGGGCTGTGGAATCCTGAGAAGCCCCCAGCCCATCATGAAATCAGAGCTCTCTCCCAAGATGTGGACCCATCAGTTAGAAGAGCTGGGCAGCTGCAGACGCCCCCAATCCCCGAGGCCTCCCACCCTCCCATCTGCTGACCCCACCGTTCGGCCTTGGCCCTGGGGAGGAGGGGTGAGAACATCCCCTGGAGCCTGGCTGGAGGGGCTCCTGGAGGCCTCTTGGGCCAGGTGCTGGGAGGGCAAGGCTGACTTTGAGGCCAAGACAGAGGGTGGCCAGAACAGAGTGGGTGCTGGGCTTCAGTGGTCGTCTCCTGGAAGTGGCGTCGGGCCAGAGGACATGGGATGGGAAGATGCTGCCATCTGGGCTCAGTAGGCCCATTCGTGGGGACCAGGCGCAGCTGGAGCCCAGGCAGCTGAAGGGCAGGAAGACTCTCAGGGAGGGGAGAGTCAGCTGCACAGAATCAGAGCTGGAGGGCGTGGCTCCGGGACACAGAGGGCAGCCATGGGGAGGATGAGATGCCCTCTGCTGATGGGAATGAAAGGCGTCTGACTTGGGCTCTGGGGGTCAGCCCCCAGCTCCTGTGGGACCCTCAGCAGAGACATCCTAAAGGCTCCCAACAAGCTGGCGACACAGGAAGGTGCCTTCACTCAAAGTTGAGATCACCTGGCCAGGGTGGCCATCCCCGGGTTTGGTAGCAAGAGGCCCCAGGGGCACCTGTCCACCGTCCACCTACCCTGCGGGGAGTGCCTCTCACTGGCCAGCAGCTGTGCCAGTGCCCAGAATGCGTCCTCTTCGGGAAGGTACAGCAGGAACAAGGCGGCCACCTGGCTCAGGTCTCTGCAGTAGCCCACCTCCTGCAAGAGCCAGAGTCACCGTGGAAGGACATCACCATGGAAGGATATCACCTGGGTGCTGAGGTCACCTGGGAGGACTCATGGCATTGGAGAGGACAGAGGTGACTGGGGAGGCTTCCTCGGGATGCAAATTCATTTCATTTCACGACAAGAGCCATGTCCATCAGGCGCTTCAGCAACTGATCAAAATGTCTCC